GTCACAGCGAAACACTTCTGTGTGTGGCCACCATTGTGTGGTTTGGGGCACTTTCTGGAGGCTGAGGAAAGCCAAGCTGCCGTGTGGGCACCAATAATATCCCCAACAGACCTGATTCCTTAATCCCCTTCTCCAGTTATGCGATTCCAAGCCTCCTTTGCTTTACCTGGGGAGGCAACTACACCTGAGCCAGGTCTAACTCTGCTGCAAGCTCAGTCCAAGGCAGCAATCACATCCCTCCTCTAAGGTTACAGTCCTTGTATGGCTGGCATGGAGAACCTATTAGGAATGTGGCCAATGTCATATTACATGTGCTATTTGTCCAAGAAGAATTTTCTCTGCTTTCTCCTGTTTCTCTAGGAAGTGGCCACAAAGGTCCAGTGTAAGGTTACAGGGCCCACACAAAATTTTTTTTTCTTTTTTATCAGATTTTAGCAGCTATTCCTGGAATTACAGATTGTTTGGTCTTTTTTGAAGTGAAATGTCAGCAGCCCAGGTGTCGATTTTCATATCAGGGGCTGCTTTTTACCCTGGAGGAGTTCAAATTTTACTAAGATGACAAAATCAGAAGGAAAGGTTTGGATGATAGGGGATCATTTTTTTTTTATTATTGGTGATAGAGCAGATTTTTTGTTTTCTAAAGTTTAAAGTTAAATAATGATTATGGTCCTCTGGGGGTAAAAAAAAAGTATAGATTCTGCTACAACTCTTGTGCTGGAGGAAGAGGTCAGGACAGACTGAGGATGTTTCAGTGTCTGTGTATCTGTGGTGGTTCCGTGGAGGTTCCACAGAGCAGATGGACACCAGCTTTTAGTCCTCACCATTCAGGAAGGGGGAAGGTCTAGAGAGCCACAAAAGTCATCCCTAATTGTTGAGCTCTTTCTTGTCGTGTGAGAAGTATCAAGTGTGGGGCATCTCATGTCTAATTCTTTGACACTACACGGAAAATCAGATCTTTAAGATTTTATCTGCTTTGCCCTTGTCTGTGAAGAAGAAATGTGAGGTGTTGGTCTTAGTGTGGCTCAGCCTTAAATTTCAGATCAAATGAAGATGGTACAAGGGAAATGTGGACCTGTTGGAATGAGTCCAGAGGAGGCCCTAGAGATGCTCCCAGGGCTGGAGCCCCTCTGCTCTGGAGCCAGGCTGGGAGAGCTGGGGGGGTTCCCCTGGAGAAGAGAAGGCTCCAGGGAGAGCTGAGAGCCCCTTGCAGGGCCTAAAGGGGCTCCAGGAGAGCTGGAGAGGGACTGGGAACAAGGGATGGAGGGATAGGACACAGGGAATGGCTTCCCATTGCCAGAGGGCAGGGAGAGATGGGATATTGGGAAGGAATTTTTTGCTGTGAGGGTGGGGAGGGACTGGAATGGATTTCCCAGAGAACCTGTGGCTGCCCCAACACTGGATTGCCCAAGGCCAGGTTGGATGGGGCTTGGAGCAACCTGGGCTAGTGGAAGGTGTCCCTTCCAGAAGGGTTGGAATTAAATGATCCTTAAGGTCCCTTCCAACCCAAACCATCCTGGGATTCCATGACTGGGATTTTATGGCACTAATCCCACAGCTGAAATGCTGAGGCAGCTTCAGACATGAATGGAACTCATCTCACCAAATTTTAGCCATTTACTTATTTACTTACTGAATCTCTTCTAAACTAAGCTTCAACTGGACTAGTTAAACACCCAGTCTTTATCTAAACTGAGCTCAACCAACCTGTGTCATTAGAAATGTGATAAATCACCTTCTGGAAGTGTTTGCCTGTGTTGATAGAGAGGGATCATGGATGACTTAGGTCAGGGCAGATGATCCCTTCAGATGCCTGAGATGTGTCCCACTGCAGTGGGAGCTCTGGGTTTTGCATAATTTTTCATATTAATATTAAATAAATTAATAATTAATATTAAATAAATTAATATTAATATTAAATACAAGCAGCCTAGTGAGGAGGTGAGTTAATTCATGTGAATTAAAACTCTGGTGAAACAACCCAGGAATATTTCTGAGGTGAAATTTTTTGCTTTTAAGCCTGATTAATCTGCTTCTTATATTTTCCCCAACAAAATTGTTGATTTTTAAGAGATTTGATGTTAGACAGGGTCAATTAGCCAAGTGAGTGATATTGTATCTTTGATAGTGATTTGATAATGATTTGATAATGATTTGATAGTGATTTGGTAGTGATTTGATAATGATTTGGTAATGATTTGTCATTCTCTGGGAAATGAGTTGTGAGGTTTGCTTTGTCCCAAATGTATGACTCGAATTCACCCTTGAATTCACCCACTTTTGGCCCAAAACTGGGATGTGCTTGTGAGGAGCAGTTGGTTTGGCCTTTCCACACAGCTGAAGGAGCAGCAGAAACTTCTCCAACACAGCTGAGAGTTGCCTCTCCTGAGGCTCCTTCTTCTTCCAGGATATCAGAGCAGGACCTGAACATGGCACTGGAGAACCCTCAGGTTAAACTGGGATGAAGCTGCCCCACTTGGCACTTTGGGAAATGTGTGTGAGCACGGATAGAAACAATTCCCTTTGGTTTAGGGAGTGATCTCCCTGCTCTGGAGCTGGGATGGACTCCAACTCTTTGAGCTGCCTTGGTTTGTTGATTGCTGGTTTCAGGTTTTTTCTTCTCTTTAGCATTTTTTCCCCCTCTTTTTCTTCTGCCCCCCTTTCCAAGCGAATCTCAGCAAATTCAACAAACCCCCCACCCTCCCCAGCCCCCCTGGTATGATTTAAATGCCACTGCTGCTGGTACCAGAGCTGAAAAAAGACCTGGCTCCCGTTCAAGTCCTTCTCCTTTCCAAATGTTTAGGGATTTGGAGCCCATACATACAATTACTGCGTGTTTCTGGGGAAGAGAAAATAGCCAGCAGCTGTTCGGTGTCTGATCAATTAGGAGCTGAGGAAGAGGAGCGAAGGAGAGGGGGGGTTATTGCTCCCAAATCTGCACACAATTAGGAAACAATGCTCAGAATGGGGGCTGGGGAGGTGTGGGGAGGACAAACACCCTTCCAGTGGGTCCTTGGGTGGGCAGGTCTGCACCATCGAGAGATTATTGCCCCTAAACTGATGTGGATGTATTTGCTATGGATTTGGGAAGGTGAAGGAGGAAGAGGAGCCAGTGCTAGTCTGAGAACATGAACACTTGGTGAGTGGGTGTCTTGGAGTAGATCCTCTTGACTCCAGTCAAATCCTGCACTGAATTCTGTGGCGTCTTGGACACCCACTCCATGGGGAGACACAGAAATGGGGACAACTGGGACACCCATTCCACATGGAGACAGAGAAATGTGAACATCTTGGACATCCACCCCACGTGGAGACACAGAAATATGGACATCCTAGACATCCACTCCACAGGGAGACACAGAAATATGAACATCCTAGACATCCACTCCACGGGGAGACCCAGAAATGGGGACGTCTTGGACACCCACTCCATGGGGAGACACAGAAATGTGAATATCTTGGACACCCACTCAACGTGGAGACACAGAAATGTGGACATCCTAGACATCCACTTGACGTGGAGACACAGAAATATGGACATCTTGGACACCAACCCCACGTGGAGACACAGAAATGGGGACATCTTGGACACCCATTCCACGGGGAGACACAGAAATGGGGACAACTTGGTCTGCAAGATGAATCCTGCCTGAGAGGTTTCACTCAGTTGCCCCCACAAAGGTGTTGAGTCTCCTGTGAGAAGCCCAAGGGAAAGGCACACAGGACTGGAGAATATTCCTAAGTATCTGAAAATATTTCCTCCTTAAAAGGCTTTGAAATGGACTTTCACTCCCCTCTGGAGTTCAATCCAGAGGTCAGAAGGTTTTCCAGGCAGCAGTAGCCTCCCACCTTTGTACAAAGGAATTTAGCCCCAAATCTCCAGTGCATTTGGTAGAAAGAAAGTGTTTTTTCCTTGATATCTTGTCTCACATTTTACCTGAGGTGACTGTGGGGGGGCAGTGGGGTGAGAGACCCTTCACTTATTAGCACTACCCAGCAGCAAATCATGGAATCATGGAATGGTTTGGTTGGAAAGGACCTTAAAGATCATCCAGTCCCACCCCTTGCTGTGGGCAGGGACACCTTCCATCATCCCAGGTTGCTCCAACCTGGCCTTGGACACTTCCAGGGGTGGGACAGCCACAGCTTCTCTGGGCAACCTGTGCCAAACTTTGCCCTTTGACTCCCAAGACGTGACCTGTGCAGTCTCCTTTTGTTATGTTGTGACCCCATGTGGGCTTGGATGATGTTTATGTTCACCTGAGATCCAGGTGACAACTCTTTCCCACACAACCTGAAGGTCAAAGGATGCTTGAATATTCTCTTATATCATAACCTGAAATTTGGGGGAAGCTGAAGGCAGGTGTTTGTTAGTGACCAAATGAACCCATAAACCCGTTGTTTAAAGAGAATATGGGTCAACCTTGAAGATATCATGTCCAAAATTTTGATATATTCCAAAGTTTTTCCTCTGCACTTGTGACTCAGTCTCAGAGAAACTAAAGCTGTTTTCCCTGAATCACAATCCCTGAGTGATTGGGTTTGGAGGAGACCTCTGGAGATCATCTAGTCCAACTTTCCTGCTAAAGAAGGTTCACCTAGAGTAGGTGAACAGCATCTTGTCCAGGTGGGATTTCAACATCTCTCGAGAAGGAAACTCCAAACCCTCTCTGAGCAGCCTGTTCTGGTGCTCTGTCACCCTCCAAGTAAAGAAGTTTTTCCTCATATTCACATGAAACATGTTAAGAAGAGACTTTCCCCCAAAGGAGGTTCAGTAATCTGTGATGAAGCAGGCACAGGGGTTTACACCCACTTCCAGGGAACGAGAACAAATGGAAAGGTTTGGTTTACAAGGTACCTGAGGGCAAAAATGAAAACATTTTCGGAATTAGTCATTTGTGGGTCAAACCTGATGGTTGGAAATGTGTCACTGTGTGGCTAAACGGGCTGAGACCTTTAGAGCTGGTGGGTTTAAAGCCATCCACCCCCCAGAAATGTGATTCTACAGCCACATGGAGCTGCAGAAAGGACGAGTCTGTCCCTCCTTCACTCAACAACAAGAGCATTCGGTGGGTTCTGCTCAGCGCTCCCATCGCCATGGAGACGTTTGCTGTTTGGGTGGTGACGTGTGGAGCCTTACCTGGAGCCTCAGTTCCTTTGCAATTACATAAGGTTATTTATCTTTGTAGAGATTATTAATCTTCATTAAGATTATTCGTCTTCATCACATATAAAGTGCTCTTGATCAGGAGCACCTGAAAATGTGACCCAGAAAGCTTTTCAGTGCTGAAGGAAAAGGGGTTCATGTTGTCCTAAAATAGATTTATTATTTCACCTTTAAAATTAAAATGTCTAGTCAACATAGCTCTCTGCATCAGTGGAAAAAGCTAAAAAGTACTAATCTGAACTTAAAATATATGAGATGAGCCTTCCCACCTTTCCACTGACTGGAGGCTTGAAGATGATTGGCTTTGAACAGACATCTAAGACTGGCTTTGAATAGACATCTAAGACTCATCAACAGACTCTTGGATGGAGAGAACTGGGTGAAAACCCAGTTTAATGCCAATCTAGTTTCTTTAGAGGCTCTTTAAAGATGGAATTCACCCCCAAGATCCCAGAACAAACCAGCTGGAGCAGACGAGTCTGGGCTACGTGAGAGCTCCAACGCGTTTTCCCGCAGAGCCATCGGGAGGTTCCGACCTCGGAGCCATAAAACGGTGGTTTTTTAGATTAGAGCTGCAAGGTTTTTTAGATTAGAGCTGCAATTTAATTAAAGCTGATTTCCAGGAACGCTGATAGTTCTCCTGGCTCTGCCAAGTCACATTCAAAGGTCGTGTTCCCCAGCTGGCTCTCTGGTGCCATTCGGGTTAAACCAACACTGTTCTGGCCACTCAGGGATCCCCAAACCTCGAGGGTGCTCCAGCCCTATGTGGTTATTTATGGCACTGTGTCTTAGTCCAGTGGTGACAATGAAAAGGGGAAGTTGAGGATGAAAAATTGCCTTCTCAGGTGGCCCAGATCAGATTTTTCCGTGGTGCTGTTGAAGTTTCCACTCTGCCCGAGTGACTCGACACCACCTTTGCCATCCCTCTTCCCTGTCTCCAACAACACAGCTCCCAGATTTTCCCTGAAGTGACCTGGGCCTCCTTCCACTCCTCCTGGTAAGTGACAGGGAATTCTATCCTCTGATCCCCTGAACCTCCCACAGAACCATCCCAGTCCTCTTGGTCTCCAAACTTTTCCTTCTGCTCCTTCAGTGTCTTAAATCAATAAGAAGGACGGGTCTCAAAGAAAGATTGTCACCTTCCCTTCTCCAACCCTTGACCTGTGAACCTGTTTTTCCAGACTCCTGGATGTAAAACCTGAAAGTCCCAGTGTGAGGCTGTTTCCTGACCCTCCAGGATCAGCACAACCTGGAGATGCTCAACCAGGGACTTCTGCAGCTTGTAAAACAGCTGCCACTTGAGCTCCCAGGGCTCAATTTTGGCCATTCTTGATGTCTTGGGACATTCTTCATGGCTTTTTTCTATACAATGGCTATTTTTTCCTGATTATTTTCCCCTGACTATTTTCCCTTTATCACTTTCCTCTTTCTGTAGTCAGTATAAATTTAATTTTTTTGTGTTTCATACCCAAATGTGACTGTCACAGATGATTTAGTTCAAAACAAGTTTTTTTTTTTTTTAGTAAACAGAGACTGAAACTGTTTTAAACTCGATTATGAGTATTTTTGGCCGGAGATTTGCTGGTAGAGTCAATCAGGTCGACAAAAAAAAATTCATTTTGTGTTTCTCAGGAAAAAAAATTGGCTTTTGGGGAAAGACAAGTGAGCCGAACTCCTTGAACTTCTTGCTGTGTTACTGAGCTTGCAAATAAAGTATTTTAGCAACTTTATGCAGAAACCTGCAATGACAATTCTTCTATTTCATTATTTTTTTGGAAACCTGGTCCATCAAAGGAAGGTCAAAATCCTGCCTGGATATTCCATGGAAAGACAAACGTGTCCAGAAGATGAATATTCTAAACTTCCAGTAGATATTTAATGTCACTGAAAAGAAGCATCCTTTGGAGGTGTGGTTCTTTCCAGTAGTTTTCCAGGAAGTTTCCATGACAAGTTCAGAGTGAAGAAAGTCCTGTGACATTCAGGAAATGTTCCTAACATGAGTTGGGTTTGGTGTTGATATCCTGTTGATATCCTGCTGATATCCTGCTGATTCCTCTTTTCCTACAGAAAAGGTTTGGAATATGTTTGGCTGCATTTGCTATTTAAAACCATGTGATTAATTAAAGTTCCCCCCTGTAGCTTAATTGATTTTGCACACTCCAGGATTTTTTTCCATTCCTTCTTCCCATCCCTGTGCCCTCCAGTGGGCACTTTCACCAGGTTCTTCTTGGTTCTCTACTATTTCCATCTTTAAACAGAAAATTCCTACACCAAGACAATGATTCCAAGGAAAGGACCAGAGAACTTTGTGTACCAAGGTATTGCAGACAAAAACCTGTCCAAAAGTGTTGATTTTTGGTTTTAAAGTGAAGTAATTTCGTGTTCCTGTCTCATTCTCGACGTGTCCTCTCCCTCCAAGTCTCATCCATGCAGCTCCCATAGTTTCTTCACTCAGCTTTCCCCATCATTTCCTTCTAGGATTGCTTGAAAATGCTTTTCCAGCTTGTTTCCTCCCAAAAGGCTTTGTATTCTCATAGAAATTAAAGATTTAGCAATAATGAATCCAGAATATTGTAGGAGGTGCCCAAGTGGGATTAATTTTTTGTTTCGTTATTTTATGTGAAACACATGAGACAAAACTTCATTTTCTTGGCTCACAGGAAATCCTTTGTGTTTTGAAGCAGAAACATTTATATCAGAGTATGCTGGAAAACAGCAAACATTGATTTGTCTCCCCTGTAAAAGAGAAGCAGCTTCAACCTTTTTGCTCCCTAAAATAATATTTTCTCCTTTCTCCTCATTTCCACTCCTGAAATGGCCTCAGTATGAACTTCCCAGTGCCAGTGGAATTCCTGAAGTGCTCATTCCTTTCTTAAACAGCTGCTTAGAGTTGGTCAGACCTCAGTGACAATTCACCATTGGAATCTTTATCGAGGAAAACACGAAGGAAACAGCTTCACCTCACCCGTGGGAATCAGGAATTGAGAATGTGCTTCTCTGAGACAAATCCTTTATTAGCTCCAAAACCGAGTGTTGAATTATTCCTTTTGATCTCCTGAATATTGAAATATTCCTTTGGATCACCTGAGGCCCTGCAGGAGAAGGCAGAGGAATTGTCAAAGCACTGCTGGAAAAAAAAAATGTTGAGAGCATCGATTGTGGTCCTTTGACCTTCTCTGGAAATGATCATAGAATCATAGAATCATAGAATCAGCTGGGTTGGAAGGGACCTCCGAGATCATCAAGTCCAACCCTTGATCCAACCCCGCTGTGGTTCCCAGCCCATGGCACTGATGCCACATCCAGTCTTATCTTGAAAACCTCCAGGGATGGAGAATCCACCCCCTCCCTGGGCAGCCCATTCCAATGGCTGAGCACCCTCTCTGGAAAGAAATTCTTTCTAATATCCAACCTAAACCTCCCCTGGCACAGCTGAAGACCCTGAGCCCTCTTGTCTTGCTGAGAGTTGCCTGGGAAAAGAGACCAACCCCCCCCTGGCTCCCCCCTCCTGTCAGGGAGTTGCAGAGAGTGAGGAGGTCTCCCCTGAGCCTCCTCTTCTCCAGGCTGAACAGCCCCAGCTCCCTCAGCCTCTCCTCATGGGAATTGTGCTCCAGTCCCTTCCCCAGCCTCGTTGCTCTTCCCTGGACCTGCTCCAGCCCCTCCATGTCCTTCCTGAGTTGAGGGCTCAGAGCTGGACACAGCACTCCAGGGGTGGCCTCACCAGCGCTGAGTCCAGGGGCAGAATCACTTCCCTGGACCTGTTGGCCACACTGTTCCTGAGCCAGGCCAGGATCCATTGGCCTTCTTGGCCACCTGGCCACACTCTGGCTCCTGTTCAGCTCCCTGTCCATTCCCACTCCCAGCTCCCTTCCTGCCTGGCTGCTCTGCAGCCCCTCTGGCCCAGCCTGGAGCTGCCGGGGGTTGTTGTGGCCAAAGTGCAGGACCCGGCCCTTGGCCTGGTTGAACCTCATGATCCTTCATTCCTCCTCCCCACCAACTGCCTGGGCTTCAGGGTAGTCCCATGCTGAGTGAATTCCCAGCTGTGACACCTCAGCACTGATGTGTCCAGGCCGTTTTCCTCATGAGGGGAAAAATAAAGGAGCACAGACACAGGCGCTGGAAAAAGCAGCAGCACCTCCCGAATTCCCACCAACCACTTCCCGGCACGTGGTTGGATCCGTCGGGGAAAAGCTCCACCTTCCAGCCAACTCCTGGCTCAGCCTGGCCCCACCTTCACGTCCAAGACCTAATAAGATCAACCTGAAATTCCTTACATTGGGGTGGATTCCAGCCAGGATCACCAGCCCCTTAAATTCCCTTTGGACAATCATAACACACCCCACGATTAGAGATTTACACTCAGGGTGTGTTGGGACCTTGTGTGGGGTCAGGGCTGATGTGGAAAAGCTCAGCTGTGCCCAAAGTCAGCTCGGGAAGGTGGAATAAAGGTTGTCCAGAGCTGAGTTTCTCCCTTCAGGTCTGGATTAGAACCTTAAACTGAGAGCAAGGCTGAAATCTCCCCCAAAACACACCCCCAGTGTTAATTTTAGGCAAGCTTTTAATTTTAGACAGAACATTTAAGATGTGCTTCCTTTCCTAGAAAGTCTCAGTGTAAGCAGAACTTGTGGGAAAAGCAAAATTCACCCCTGGGAGTGATAATTTATATAATAAATTCTAATGGACCAGGGCTGGTGGCACCACCTTTTAATTTGGCCCCTGCTGGGAAGTCAGTGTTCAAATTCTCACTGAATCAGAATTCACAGATCTGCATTGTTTTAGAGATATTTTATTTCACCTTTCTTGCACTTTCCCCCCTTCTTATAATTAAAAAACCTAATTTTTCTCATTCTTTTTTTTCTCTCTCTGTAGCAAAATTCTGTCTTTTACAAGGCTTTTTTTGATGCGTGAAAGGATCGTGGTTGGAGCTCCTGAAATTGTTGTAATATTGACATTAAAAAGTCACATTTTACCAGACTTATTCTTCCTAAGGAAGCTCAGTTTGGCTTTTCATGTTCAGAACCAGGTGAAGGCTGAGCAGATGAACACCAGGACCTTTCTACTTTGTGGTTTGGGATGAAATTGGAACAGCAACAACATAAATCCAGAGCACTTTTGCCGGTGGAATTGTCATCTGAAAAAAGAAAATGGACGCATGGAAATCGTATTCCCCCCTTCTTTCACATGCACCCTCTCAATACTCTTTTATTCAAGAGTTTTTAACTCTTGACCTCATGGCAAATTCATCCCTCATTTAATGCTTAAGATGTTTAGACCATTAGGTAAAAGCAGCATTGTTATTTAGGTTACGTGTCGAAAGTCAGAGTGCCTGGAAAGAATTCTGCTCTGTGGTTTCCAGGCTGACTCCAGAAAATTAGAATTGCAGGGAGGCTCTCCGTGGAGTTCAAGTTGAAATAAAAAAATAAAAAAAAAATCCCAACCCCAAATCCAGACCGAAGCAAAACTTAACAGCAGGAGGAATCAGTGCAAAGGTTTCAAAATTTTCGTTTCACTTCATCAAAATCTGTCATTTCCTAAAGGAAAGCAGGCAGGTTAATTGTGCAAAATATATATGTATAAATATATATATATATATTTCACATATATGTGTGCATATATGTGTATGTGTGTGTATATATATTAATTTTTTCCCTGTTCTTCTTCATATCAGACTTCACCATATGGCACTAAACCCATCATTTAATGTGGAATTATGGAGCTAATGGAATGTGGAGAATGAGGTCTTGCTTTCCTATTGGTCACCAGGCTCCCCTTTAACTGCTGGGGGAAGACCAAACTTATAAACACAGGTCTGTGACCATAGAAACCCCCAAAAGCTCAACTTTTGAAATTGCATCACGTTAAAATCATGGGCTTGGTTTTTATTTAATTTTTTTTCTCTATACGTTACACAGGAGAAAAAAATAATGCCTGGCATGTGTGTTCAAATATATTGTCCAAATCTATATATCGTGGTTCAAAAACGTACAAATCACATAATTCACTCTGGGGAGAGATGCCAGTTTATTTCTCCATTCAGTCATCGTTGAAATGCAAGTAAAATTCAGATCACAAAGCTCTTTTATCAGTGAAATTTTTAATTTATTCCCAGCTTTGGTGCTCAATCTCACTGTATTTTTCCTGTCCACTTTTCCAGCCCTCTGTATTTTGGAAAACCCACTCCTTGCTCAAAAAAGGGCTGTACCCAAAGTCATGTTGTGCCCCTGCCCACCTGAGCTTTGAGGATATTTTTCCTTATATCCAACCGTAGTTTCCCTTTCTGCAACTTGTGGCTCCTCATCCTTCTCCCACATCTCTGAGTAGCTGCATTTCCCACACCAACCCCGTTTCTGGAGTGGAATTCTGAAATTTGTTCCCTTTTCCTATGCCTTCCCCAATGCCATTTCCTCCCAAACTTTATTCCTTACTCAAATAAAGCTCAAGTTGGTAAATCCAAGCCATTCTGTTTATCAATATTTTATAGAAATAACCTTCTTTTCCTTTCCTTCTCTCACAGCTACCAGTGACTTTCTATACATCTTGACATTTTGCCTTCAAATGGCCCATCTGGATACATCATAAGGAATTCCTCAAGAAAAAACGTGAAGATGATCCACTTTTTCCATAGGAAACCTCAAATCTGACTTCACATTGCCATCCCTAGAACTAATTCTTTCTACAAGCCCTTATTATGTCCCCAGCTCTAACCCAGCTTCCTAACACTCATCCAACCCTCCACCTTTTCCAAATTTGATTGATGTCCCAACATCCATGGTTTGCTCAAAGGGGGTCTTTCTGTTGAACACAAAAAAAATCATGTATTGATGAATCTCCATCAAGATCTTCCTCTTTCTGCCTCTTTTTCTGATTTTCATGCCTCTATTCTCCGCTTGTTTTTGTTGATTATCTCAGAGCTTAATGGAATGTCTGATTATTCCCAGAAATTTGCCTAAAATTGTCCCACAATTGAGGCAATTTTTGAAAGCGTTGTACAGTCACATCTATACCTACGTATGTTTATGGTGTCATTAATATGGATTTATGATATAGGTAAGAGAAGGCTCTGGGGAGACCCTATTGTCTCCTTTTATATTTGAACATTAGGTGTCTCCTCTTAGGCCTAAACCAGCCTTGCTTTCAATGCCTATAAAACCTGCTCTTATTTCTGGTCAAACAAGGTCTTTGGAAACTTGGTCCAAATGCCACGAGAAACTCCACGACACTTCCACTGATTTCTGCAGGCTCTGGGTTAAAGTTCCCGTTTAGAACTCTTCTGATAAGGCATTGATCAATATTTCTTTACCCTCACTATCATCCCAGCCCTGATCAGTTATTTATTGGGATTCATGTCTGGTGCTACGTGACCGCGGCCGAGGCTCAGCTCCCGGAGCGACCTGGAAAAATGCACAATAAGACACAGACTTTGCCCCTTTGGAGAAGTTATGAACTGAGTCAAGAGCTCAGACAACGAGACAGAGCCTTTCCACTGTCGACTTTATGGCCAGGGACTTGTCTAACACCCTGTGGACCTTGAATAAGCCCTGGAATAACAGAACACGGAGCCATTGTTCCAACAGGAATGCTCATTCACCCACCTTTATTTTTGGCAGAAGGGAAGACAAGCCCAAAGAGACAAAGTGCCATTTGGAAAACTTGATGCCAGTAGAAATTCTATGCTCATTTCAAGTCTATTCTATGCTCATTTCAAGTCTATTCTATGCTCGTTTCAAGTCTACTTTCATTTCAAGCACTAAAGTGCAGGTCCTTGGAGCTTTTGTAGCCAGTGGAAATCGTGCTCGAGCACAGTCTGATTGGGGAATATCCATAAAGTTGCCTGATTTTCTACTTTGGAATGGGATGAATTGCACCCAACACCACCCATATTTTTTCCTACAACTCTGCTGACTACAAAGGGAGCTCAGAATGACTCATTTCACTGGAGGTGTCCAAACTCAATGCCAGCACTGCCTGATGAACTCCACCTCCCCCTCTTTGACACATGTTCGAAGCCTGAAGCTTTCCAGACGTGGTGGTTTGCCACCGAAAAACCCAAAGTGGCCCGGAGAAGCAGCACCAGCTTCTCTCAGGGACAAAATTTCCTCCCTCTGATCGTGTTGCAAACGAGTTCTGCCTCAGAGGCTCGGGGCACAAAGAACAAAAAGGGATTTGAGCAGCCGGGTGGTGGGAGAAGGGCCGTGGAGGGAGGAGGGGGCTGGAATGGGAAAGGGCAGAAACAGTTTTAAATATTTGGAATCTGCAGTTGTATTTCCCCCCCCTTCTCCTCCTTCCCCTCCCAGAGCTTCTTTTTTTTTTTTTTTTTTTTTTTTAGCCCAGATTAACTATTCCCCCTACAATGCTTTTTCATAAAGGGATCAAGCCCATTGTTTATAGAATTTGCTAATAACAGCCTCAGTCGTGCTGTCACAGCAGAGTGATTCAATTACAAGACCGGACAATAAAAGCTCAATAAAGAACCCCAAATCCTTATTAAATTCTTTTTCTTTTTAATTAATATTAAAAGAAATACCCGAGCGGGCCTGGGATTGCCAGATGGGGGAATTTATGCTGCCCAGAAGAATGATATGATCTCTCTGAGTAGCACGGTGCAAATTAAAAGAGGTTTAGCGTTAAGTGCTCATGGCACAAAAGCAATTTTAAGTACCTGCAATCAGCTTAGGTTGGCTAAGCCTAAATATGTACAAATCGTGTAATGGGCAATATCCCTGGCAGTACCACGCAGAGCTGTGACAGATGTGCCCTCCAGGCTTTGCTCTGGGCCCTACAACAGCTCGCCAGGAGCGTGGGGGTGAGCGGGAGGGGGGGTGTGTGTGTGGTTTGTGGGCCACCTAGTGTCCTGCTGGCGACTACAACAAATAATTTGTTTTTTTTTTCTTTTCTCTTAGAACCGATTTTAAGGCATAAAAAAGAGCAGTTCCATCACCAGGTCAAAGAAACCCATGGATTGTTTCTCCGTTCTCTCTTCGCTGCTTCGGTTTGAGGCTCGTTGGTGGAAGGGGGTTTGAAATCCTTTTAGTCATTGTCCCACTGGAAAATCCATTGTTTCCCTCACTACTCATCTCAGTTGCTTGTTACCTTTGCTGCAAGGAACTTGGGATTTTTGGGGTGTTGGGGTTTTGTTGTTGTTGTTGTTGTTGTTGCTTTCTCAGCCTGGCATAACAAGGTTGTAGAATCATGGAACAGTTTGGGTTGGAAAGGGCCTTAAGGATCATCCATTCCCACCCCCTGCCATGGGCAGGGACACCTTCCACTAGCCCAAGTTGCTCCAACCTGGTCTTGGACACTTCCAGGGATTTGGGCAGTCACAGCTTCTCTGGGCAACCTGTGCCAGGGCCTCCCCACCCTCCCAGCCAGGAATTCCGTCCCAATATCCCATCTATCCCTGCCCTCTGGCAGTGGGAAGCCATTCCCTGTGTCCTGTCCCTCCAGACCCTTGTCCAAAGTCCCTCTCCAGCACAACTTCTTTATGATGAAGGACAAGCAAGTTACAGGTGAAGATGTTTTGCATTTGAGGTGCATAAGATGACTCTTGTTTTAGCTGATTTTTTGGCACCCAGTAAGGAATGACCCTAATAGGACCATTCCATGATTTTAAGATTCTGTGACCTCTGCTCTCCACTTGTTTTTGTTGATTATCTCTGAGCTTAATGGAATGTCTGATTATTCCCAGAAATTTGCTTAAAATTGTCCTACAATTGAGGCAATTTTTGAAAGCATTGTACAGTCACATCTTTATCTACATATGTATATGGTGTCATTAATATGGGTTTATGATATAGGTAAGAGAAGGCTCTGGGGAGAACCTATTATGGCCTTTCAATAGATAAGAAATTATAAGAATATACATTTCAATATAGAGGAATATATACATATAAAAAAATACATATATATTTCAATATGTAAGAAATTACATGTCAATCATAAGAAAGATGTGAAGAGACTTTTTCTGAAGGCCTGTAGTGACAGGACAAGGGTCAGAAGTTACAAACTGGGAGAGGATGGGTTTAAATTGGGTGTGAAGGGGAATTATTTTAGGATGTTTGAGGCACTGGGAGAGTTTTCCCAGAGAAGTTGTGGATGCCCCATCATTGGAAGTGTTCAGGATGTGTCATTGAGCAACCTGGTCTAGCAAAAGCCCATGGCAGAGGGGTTGGACTCGATGACCTTTAAAAGTCCCAAATCATTCTGTGATTCTTTAATTTAAAAAACCCCACAACACTGGGAATTGTGACTGGATGAGAAAGCAGTGCCAGGCAGAGGCCAGCAAAGCTGGAGAGCCCTCCCAAATAACATAACTAAGGAGGAGAACACGACACCGGCGCTGGTCTTTGGCGGGGAGATCATCCCCCAAAAATTGCCTCTGTTGTCACAGACCCCTCTGTGGGATTCATCATTAGCTATTTGTCCAAAATAGATGGCAGGACGTGCCCTCCCCGGCGACCTTTCCCTGACAAAAGCAGGAAACCTGGCTTAAAGCAGGGGCTCATGTTTGCACTGGCTGTGGTTAAGGGAGATTAATTCCCCCCTCAGCACTCGATCCCGTTAATCAGCGGGGCTCTGGCTGTCGGCTGCAGAGACACGCGGAGCATTCACCCCGTTTTCGGGCGGTGCTTTGGGATTGCTGGGATAAACCGTCCTCCAGAGTGGAATGAGAAGCTCTTCAGATGCTTCAGTGACTTTCCAGTGAGCAGGAAGGAGGAACACGGGGTTTGAAGTCTTTGCAACAGAGGCCTGGAGGTTTCTCCGGAGCTGCGTTTGGGTCCTGCCTTTACCCCACGCTGTGAAATGATGGATCCCCCTCGTTTTTAGGGATAAAGTGGGGTGTTCGTTGCTGGGGGTAACAACAGCTATAGGTGCATTTAATTTGGGGTTTCCCTTGCCTTAAATTTATCATTTAGAACTTTAATGTTGAGTCCTGTCCTGGATTGGGTGTTTAAGACACAGAGTGGAGTAAGTCCCCTCGAAGTACCTATTTCTGCTCATGGTTCATGGATTCATAAATTCATGGAACATCCTGAGTTGGAAGGGACTCACCAGGATCATCAAGTCCAACTCCTGGTCCCGCACAGGACAACCCCAAGAATCCAACCATGTTCCTGAGAGCTTTGTCCAAATAATTCCTGAAATCTGGGCTGCCACCACTTCTCTGTTCCACCCTCTTGTGAAGAACCTTCTCCTAATACTCATTTCTCTCCAGCTTGGATTAAACTTTGACTTTTCAAGTGACCACCTGTAAACAGGTGAAGTCTTTGCCTTTGGAGATGAAGGATGATCTGAATCTGTCATTTTCTTTCCCCATTTAAGAAATGCTCGGAAAGAACGGGAGCAGTGAGGCAAAGGTGGATTTTTACCAATATTAAATAAATATAAATGCTCGAGACTGATCAAATTCAACCAACGTGAATTTTCTCATATAAACTTCCCCAAAGTGGGACGAATTTCCAGTGTGGGAGACACACATTTTTTAATTAGGAGAAAAGCATTTATTAGATGAGAAGGCAAAATCAGCCCAACGTGATGCCTTTGAAGCTCCCAGCCCCCTGCCTGATTCCCTGAACTCCCCCTCCCCTGTCATGGGGCTTTATATTTCACAGCATCCATAACATGGATTTATCAAAGGTCACTATGGCAACATCCAGGCAATCCGAGACAAATCCGTGGCCGAGCATGGAAACAGGACAAAACAAACTGAAATCGCCCCGTTCCCACCCAGGTTCCCCCCCTGTGCCCCTCCAGCTCCAAATTTAGCCCAGTTCTATTATTAATCCTCAATATTACCTCAGCTGAGGGTGAAAAGCAGGAGAGGAATATCAGTGTTGTCCAGGATGGCTGGGGCTGCGGGTAAAGCGGGATAATTGTATTGGCATGTGTGAATTCTGGGAATCAGAGCCTCCCAATATTTGTTTTGGCCGGGTTTCCATGGCAATAAGGGCACTTGCTATTAATTCTCTGGTTTATTGCTAAGTCTTTATTCATAGTATTTGGGGAGGGGGTTATTCACATTCGATTTGGAATTCCAGGCCTTATATATTTATATATATTTATATATATTTATATATATTTATATATATTTATATATATTTATATATATATTTATATATATATAAAAGGCTCTGGGGAGACCCTATTATGGCCTTTCAATAGATAAGAAATTCTAAGAATATATATTTCAATATATAAGAATATATATATTTCAATAAGTAAGAAATTTGTGTATATGTATATAAGAAATATGTAAATATAAAACAAACAAAAAAATTAAATAAATAAATAAACAAATAAACAAACAAATAAATATGATATACATATAATATATATGGACCTGAACTTACTAAAAGTAAATAAATATATATCTAATGAGATATAAGTATATCTCATTGGAGATATATATATATATCCAGAATATAATATGTATCCCAGATAAATAAATAAATAAAAATAATATATAAAAAATATATATATATAACCTGAACTTACTAACAGTAAATAAATATATATCCAATGAGACATAAGTATATCTCATTGGATATATATAGATATATCCAGAATATAAATATATATCCCAGATAAATAAATAAATAAATAAGTAAAATATATATTCCAGAATCCCAAATACCTACTGTGACAATGAGAAGCATTTTCAGAATGATTGAGAACTTTAAGATGCATCAAACCTCTTTTTCCATTTTCAGAAGTGATTGAGAACTTCAAGATACATCAAACCTCCTTCACCCACAGCGTTTGTAGTTGTTCTTTTGGAGATGTCCAACAGCAGTAGATTTTATGACATGTATTTTTCCTTTCTTTTGCTCCTTTTGGAAACCGGGACAATTTTAGAATTTGTTTCTCAAGAAAAAAAAAGAAAAAAAAAATACCCGGAAAGTGAAAGAATTCAGAACATTTGTTGCTTCTCTGTTGTTGTGTATATTTATATATTTTATATATTACCCACACAGCCCAACAAACACAATCTAATCTCCGTGATAAAAAACCAACGGGGCCGCCAGTACAAAGTGAATTTCTCAGTAATTAAGATAAGAAAAAAACAAAAGTAGCTTGTGAACCCTTACCTTTCTCCCTTTTATCACACCTTATCTTGCAGCTCCGTGCTACAGTAGCCTCCTAGATTTAAGTGGGAGCCTCCCATGCCTGGAGAGCAGCAGCAATTCCTTAGAGAATTTTACTTTATTGGGCAGGAGTTGCTTCCAGGATGGATTTTCTCCCCGTGGTTCAAAGGCTGCTCTAAAAACAGAACTTTTTTTTTCCTCCTGGGCTTTTTTTTTTTCTTTTTTTTTGGCATTCCTGAGTGGTTTTCCAATGTTAATCATCTTCGGAGTATCTCTCTGAGACAGGAACATTATCCTTATTTTGCTAATGGGAAGCTGATAAATAGATTAAGATTAACGTGAAAAGTAATCTGGTTATTTTGGCATCCTGAGCTCTGAGTGCCTGCTCTGGCAAAGCTTTTTTTAAGCATTTTTTACCTTATTAATCTCATCCCACTTTATCTGTCTAGGAATAATCATTCCTTTCTCCAAGCTCCTCATCTTCTCAGAGTCACTGGGGAGGAAAAAAAACCCAGTCAGAGGTGCTTCCTCTCATATATCTCGGATGAATATGTTGGGATAAGATGGATTTCCCTCCAGAAGGACTAAGGCAGATAAATCCCACGCGATTTTTTTTATTTTTAGGGAGTTTTCCTGGATTTTAGTTACACTTTGAGTGCTCAATATTCCATTAGGATGCTGAAAACCAAGGGTGAGAGGGACTTGAGGGAGATCCCTCTGTCAGAACTCCAAAATTCAAGTCACAACACATGAAAACAAAAGTTGGGACTTGAAATTCTTCAATTTTTCTGGGGAAAAAGGAAAAAAAGATAAATTTTCCACCTTCTTTCGTTCTTTCTGAGGCACCATCAGCAAATCATTGCTAATGACAGATTTAATGTAATGACAGATTTAATATAATGACAGATTTAAAGTGAAACAAAGCAAGAAAATGGTGATAAATGCATTTAAATCCCATTTTTAGGGAGTTTTACACATGTGTAATTAGGCAGTTGA